TTAAATCAAAACTAGGCTGCTGGAAACATAAAACAAATATGCCAGTATAAACAATCCTTTGACATGAAATAAAACAGCAAGCATGAAAGTTTAAGAAAAACCTATGAATAGTTGGATACTGTTACTGCAAGTTCTTGTCCTATGCAAGACATCGCATGCAGAATCTTTTTTCTTTGATATATTCTTTAAAAAACAATTAAGTCCAAACATTCATACTCCCATAAGAGATGGTGTGTGTGAGTCAGTATGAGAGGGTTTATGAGACAGTAGTGTCTAATAAATGATAATTCTGTCATTATTAACTGTACTCATCTTCACGTTGCAAGGACACATTAAATGTATCAAAAGTGACAGTAAATACATTTATAATGTTACAGAAAATCTGTTTCATATCAATGCTATTGATAAATGCTATTGATAGCATTGATAATAATAAGAAATGTTTCTTGAGCAACAAATCAGCATATTCGATTGAAGGATCACTGAAGACTGGAGTAATGATGCTGAAAATTCAGCTTTACATCACAGGAATAAATTACACTTTACATTTTGATTTTGGTTGCACTGTCCCTTTAAGTGACTGTATTGTATATACTGTCTATATACATATATATGCCGTCTGAGGATTTATTTTTCCTAAAGATGAACAATGTTCCAAATATTAATTTTAAATTTCAGAATCACTGAGATGTCTTATGTTGACGTCTGAAAAGTTTCATCATTGAATTGTGTCTGTCTCTCAAATATGTGTGGATTTTCTGGAGTGATATTTGGTTTGAATGTGCAGATTTGCTTCTCCTGACTGTTTTGTTGCCTGTGGTCAGTGGACAGTCACGGATGTGTGTGTGTGTGTGTGTGTGTGTGAGAGAGAGAGTGTTTAGAGGGCATTCTGAATCACTCCACTATGCATGAAAAGCTTTTAGGCAGGGGGCCTGCCAGGCACCCAGCTGTCAATTTATTTGATTTGAATTGTGGAATGGAGTTATGAAGTGTGAAACGTCAGGGCTAAAATGTTTTGATTGCCCCCATACACTGTGGCCATCAATTTCCATCAGCCTCCTCTAAGATATGGAAGTTATGTGAGTCTTGGTTATCTGTAACCTAGTTTAGTAATTGTTTTGGGGTGTGTTAATTCTTAGCTGGATGTTGTTTTTTAAAATTTACATGTTCGAAGAATATCCGAAAGCCTCGTAAAAGTGTTTAATAAGCGGCTTGTATTTACAGCGCAGTGCACTGAATGTGCTTGTTATTCAGTGCTCTCATAATATAATATTTGGGTTGCATTTCTAGTGACTGAAATTGTCTCAAACATTTGGAGAGAACATCTGAATGCAGAAAAGCCAAAGTAACAGAAAGAGATCCAGTTAAACAAAAATGTTCAGTGCTAAATTACTTTTCCTGTTTCAAAAGGTTTACGTTATTAAGAAAAATAATGTTTAAAGGAAGAATTCACTCCAGAATGAAATGTTATTTCCTCACACACCTGTTGTTACAAACCTGTATGACTTTCTCCTTTCAGCGAAATAGGAATCCAATGAAAGCACAGGCCAATATATATTTATTTATTTTTATTTATTTATTTATTTAGTCATTTAGCAGATACTTTTATCCAAAGCGACTTGAGGACAACAGAAGCAATCAATTGTAGTATTAAAACAACTAAAAACAGATCCAAAACTAAAAGCTAAAACTTTATAAATACTACTTATACACATTTTTAAAATAAAGAAATTAAATAAAAATGACAACAGCATTTCTAAACTTAACATTTAAATGAAAAACAAAAAAATAAAGCTAAAAACAATTCAAAATATTAAAGAACAAAAGGTACAGTATAAGACTAAGAGTATAATAATGATTCTAACATAACACTAAGCCAAACACCAAAAAAACAACTACATATATGTGTATGTACACACACACACACATACACACATATATATATATATATATATATATATATATATATATACATACACATTTATAAATTCAATATATATATTATTTCATTTCCATTTAGTTTATTGAAGTAGTAAAATAACTCAAATTCAATCAAACTAAAACTTAATAAAAGACCTATACAGACATAATAAATTCAGACATAAGTTAACTCAAATTAAAATAAATAACAAATACAAATAATACAAATCAAACGACAGTAGTTTATCAGTAATCCTAAAAAATAACACTGCCAAACACACATGCTAAAAAACAACAACTTACTCACACATAGTAAGAAATGGTTATAAACTGAAACAGAAGTGAAACTATTAGGAAAGAGGCGAAATAAAAAGCAATACTTATCCTTTGCCGGTGTCCCTGCCCGGTGGAGTCGCACGGTAGAGTCGATGGTCTTTACACTCTTCAGTCTTCACAAGAGGAGGCCGTCAAGCGACGACTGCGGCTACCGCTGCCGCGGTAAACTATGCTTTTTTTATACCCGTCTATCAAAATAATAAATTAATTCAGCTGGACACACTTTCCTTATTTTTTCCACAAAAATTGGCCAAGCAAGCGCAGACACTGACAAGATACGCGATACAGAACGAGACCAAACGCGATATCAGCACGTCTCCACACAGTAAACGAAACAAGCGTTTCCTATCAATGACAACTGCACTAAACACTAATGAGACAAGTAAATACACTTACAACTTCCGCTGATAAAGACTGCTTCTCTCAAAGAGTATTTCTTTACACTGTTTTCTGCTGGCGCTTGAACACACTTTCCTTATTTTTCCCACAACAAATGACCGAGCAAGCGCAGACACTGACAAGATACGCGATACAGAATGAGACCAATAAATATATAGTTTATTTATTTATTTATTTTTATTTTCCAAGTGTTTTCAATAAAAAAGCACCATGCACATTAATCAAAAAAAAAATTCTGTTTGTATAAATATACATCTTTAAAAAATTTAATTAAAAAAAACCCATATAAGTGCGTCATTTAAGTCATGCAAGGCTTTTGAAATCATGCTGTTGTCTAAATTTTGTGTGATGAACAGCTTTGTGTGAAGAACAGACTGAAATTTAAGCCGCCAGTCATTGAAAATGTATGTAAACGTGGCATGTGAAGACAGGTTTGTCATTGAAACAAAACTGGAGCATTTTAATTATTTTATTTCTTTGAAACTGACAGCCTTTGGTCAATACATGCTTTCGTTGTATGTAAAGGAGCAGCATGAACATTCATCAAAACCTTTTCTTTTGTGTTTTTTTTTTGGAAGAAATAAAGTCATTCAGGTTTAGGACTTAATGGTGAATAAACGTTTAAATAAATAAAGACATAACTTAAATTTTTGGTGAGCTATTCATGATATAATACATTTA